TTACTCTCCAAAAGAAGTGGGGTGAGGAAAGGGCTTCAAAGACCTTCTAACCTGTCACTGTCATATGGGTAAGTGGGAGGTCCAGAGGGATGAGATAACCTGCCCAAGATCTCAGAGCATAGAAAGTAGAGAGCCCACTCAAGACATCCCTGGACTCTCAGAAACTCAAAAAACGAAAGGTAAATTTTGTTATGTGTATTTTACCACAACTAAAAAAACAAGAATTAAGGCAAAACAAAGCCTAGCAAAGCAATGGCTCATAGAGTTCCTTGAGAAATAGATGATGCTGGAAGAAGGGATGGAAAGTAAGAGATGAGGCTAGAACATGTTATAGTATCAGAAAGGAAGCAAGTGCTCAAAAACCAAGAGAGAACAGTGGGGACAAGTCAGAGGTCATAGGAACCAACCCAAAAGAACTCCTAATGCCCAAAGCTGGCATATGTGAACAACAAAATCAGTCATGTAATACTGAGTTATAACCCAAAGTGCAAAAGTTTGCTTGGGAAGGATAGATTGGCACACAGTCAGGGCCCTCATGGCTCTCAACCAGGCAAAAAGCTGCCAGCCCACCCCCAAGGCATCCTCAGGCAAGTGAGACTTCTGCAGCCCTGTCCAGCTGCCTTCTGCTGCCCTCGGTACTCACAGGGGAGAAGGGAGCACAGACTCTGCCTGACTCTGGCCTGGGTGCTCACCCTCTGTGATCTAAGCCCTGTGTTGACTCATGCCTCTTGATTCAGAGAACTGCCCCTGTGGTCAGCCCTGTCCCTAACCTTCCTCTTACTCCCCACAGGGCCACCTGGAGCTTCTGTACATGCATGCAAGCCTCTCCAGCTCTCTGGTGGGCCTGGCTGTATGGGGGATCAACAGCAGCCAGTGTGAGAGCTGGGAAATAGCCTCCGTTTTCTGCTAAACAAGTGACCCTCACAACTGCCTGGGTGAGCAGGTGGTGCATAGGTTCTCCCCCTGGTTTACAGAGGAGGAGATCCAAGCTGCAGGAGGTAAAAGGCCAGCACTGAGAGTCAGGTCTGGCGTTGCCCAGCTCTGTCCACACTGGCCCTGGAATCCAGGTAAACTGCACTCACAGAGCCCCAGCTTCCTCAGAAGCTGACAGGGCTGTTGGGAAAGTGCAGTGGACTGTGCATTAGAGCACTTGGCATACTGCAGTCCAGATGTGGCACACATGTCAGTTTTCAGGCAAAATGAGCCACAGGTTCTTAGAGAATGGACACCACACTGTGGCCATGATGCAGCTCAATACCCAGACAGCAGCAGCCTCCCAAAACAGATCCATGAACGAAGGAGAAGGGTGCTGGCATGGTAAGAGGGAGTGCTGGGGGGCCCGTGGATTCTTCAGAGCACTGGCTCACCCACCTAGCCCTCCTGGAGAGGCCATCTCCCCTGGGGACACCAACTCTTCCACAGCTCTTTCTGGAAGTGACTCATGGGCAGCTGGACATCGCTGGGAAGGTGGCTCTTTGGGCTATGGTCTCTGTAATGGCCTCTCTTAAAAAGTCAAAGCTAAGAGCAACTTGTGTTACCACCCATCTGGAACTAAATGCTTGACTTCTGAGGACACCTACCATGTGACAATGAAACCCACTCATTTCACATTTTAAAAACTTGCTTATTTTTATGTCTACCTCAAACGAGTCAATATCATATCAGACTCAAAACTCAATAGGGATTTTGTGGCAAACAAACCAAAACAGCCAGGCCCTGTCTCATGGGGCTGGTATTGGAGACAGGTGGATTTGTATAACAAGTATATTAGACAATTGGGTCAGTGTCATTGAAATAAACTGGGGTGCACTGGGGGAGCCTGGAGGGCGGGTGGTCTTTAGATCAGATCAGCAGGGCAGATCGTGTGGCGGAAGTGTCACTCGAACTCCCAGTGGAAGACGTGTGCAGATGAGTCATAAAGGAGCACTCCAGGGAGGGAGGAGCAAGTGCAAAGATCACTGGATAGAGGGACAAGAGCAGGGGAGAGAGAGGTAAGAGAGAGGCAGGCAGAGGCTAAAGCTCATGAGTGAGGCATGTGCAGACTGTGAAGGGGACAGGAAGCGTGGGAAATGGCATTATCTGATCTGTTTCTAGGTGGGCCCTCAGGCTACTAGGTAGAAAACGGATGGAGGAGGGAACAGGTTGCTGCGGGGGTTCGGGAAAAGATGGCAGTGATCTGGACCATGGTGCGTGGGGTGGCGTGGGGAGAGGTAGATGAGTCTGCAGCCTGTCTTGGGTGAGATCAGGGGAAGGAGCACGGGTGGCTCCCAGTTTTGGGGCTTGAGTGACTAGGTGGCTAGTGCTACCACATACTGAGGTGGGCAGGTAGGGTGGAAGATGGTATGCATCTGTATGGAAAGGAGAGGACAAGAGACATGTGAGAGAGAGAAAGAGAGAGAGAGAGAGAGAGAGAGAGAGAGAGAGAGAGAGAGAGTGTGTGTTGGGGTTTATACCTAGAGTCTTGACCTGGTTGGCCTCAGACCTTGATCCTCCTACCTCCACCTCCAATGCTGGAATTACAGGCATGTGCCACCATACCTGGCCCTTAGTTTCCAAGCTGCTTCATGAGCTCCAAGTGGAGAGGTCACAGGGCAGCAGGAAGTGCTCCTGCTGTCTCTTTCTGATCCTCCATTCCCACAAAGCTCTCTGTCCCAAGGAACATCCTGGTTCCTGACCTCCACCTGGCTTTTGGGTACAACTACCTGCCTTATCCCTGGATCCAAACAAGTTAGCTGCTCACTGTGCAGGCAGCTCTGCTGAATCACTCATGACTTGATGATTCAAACAGCACCTGACTTAGTATCTGCTACACCTCTGGGCCTGGCTGGAAGACCTTTGTCCTGGCTGCCACCAGAGTACTCCAGGGCCAAAGCAGCCCCTGCAGTGGGCCTCCAACACTGCGCCTGGGAACAGTGGACCCTCTTTCAAGATGGACATGGATGGAGATGGGCTTGAGTCCCTGAGCGCTGTAGATCTCTGGACAGAAGTGCCTCAGGAGGTGAGGTCATCTGTCAAAGATGTGATGTCTTAGGACAAGAAAGGAGGTGAAAAAAGGCAGTTTGGAGTCCAGCATGTTGGGTGTAAACTTCAGGTCTGTCCCTGTTATGAGCTGTGTGACTATCATCAGGCCACAATGTCCTTAGCTACAGGTACGGATGTGGGTATAAGGAGAACTGCTTTCTGTCCCTGACATCTTGAGGTGGGACTCGGCTGGGGGACTTGAGGGAATATTCCATTTTTCAGTCTCTGAGTCCGTGGCTTTAAAACCGTGACCATCATTATACACTCAAGACCTCCTTCCTCTAAGACAGAAAACTGTCAGGCAGGAAGGTGGGCAGGGAGATGGATGGAGATTGTAGGTCAGTACACATTGTATGTGGTATATGTGCAAATATTCATCACACTCAAGGACTCTCTGTCTCTCAAAGCAGTTTCCTTCAACCTTCACATCGGCCAGCCCTTTCTGCTAAGACGTGGCCCATGCCACAGATGTGAGGGTCACTGGGGCCTGGACAGCTCCAGGAGTGTCTCAGTGCTGAGCTCCACCCAATGATAGGAACCTTTTATGATGCTGTCACTTCCCATCAGGGAATCTCTCCTAGGGAAAAATTCCTAAGAACACAAAGGGCTTCGTAAATGATACTGGCCACTGTTAAATCTAATAGCCAACAGATGGAACGAACCTCTGCCTGGTAACTCTATCATGCGCACATGATAAAAATACTAATAAATAAATGATAAATATAGTACGAAAGTGGGAAAGCATGTTGGTTAGGATGTCAAATGATGAGAGCAAAATATCACAGTATTTATTCAAGATGGTTTTAAACCAGTGCTGTCCAACAGCACTATAATACAAGCCACCTACTTACATTTTAAACTTCTGGTAGCACATTTTAAGAAGTGAAAAACCCCCAAACATATGGAGAAAATTAATAACATGTTATTTAGCACACTATATCCAAAAGACTGTCACTTCAACACATAGCAGATGTAAAAAGTTCCTGGTAAGATTGCCTTATTTTCCTTTTCTGTACCTCAGCACATCCTCTGATTTCTGTCTCTGAAGTTACAACTCATCTCCAGTTGGACTAACCGTATCCTAAGTCACAGGAGGTGAGTGACCCCCTAACTGGACAGCATAGAATTACCCCACTAGAAATTTTATAAAGACTTCTGAATTGGGGGTGGGGAGGAACCAAAAAGCAAATATCAAAATCTCAGTGGCCAAAGATGTTCTCTGAGTGGCAGGAATATGTATGTGATTTTTTTCCCCTTCTCTTTCTGTTTTTGTAAGTGTCCATACACACCAAATTGATGCTACTTTTTACACAATGGCAAGGGCCAAGCTTTTAACTTTTGGAAAAGATGTAGAAAATTTTATAAGACCTGACTGGGTGAAGCATGCCTGCCATGCACTGATTTATTTACACTCCATGAGTGCTGTCCTGTATCCCTGGGTAGTGGGGTGGTGGGTGGGTAGGGTGGATGGACAGAAAGATGGAATGATGCAAGAAGACCATATACCATAGCAGTCAAGAGTAAACTCTACTCGAACTCCCATTTCCAAATCCAAGGCTGCCACCTACTAGTTATGTGTGGTTTTCAACAAGGTTCTTAACCCCAAGTATAGAATGGCAATATGATAACTTCCTTATAGGAGTCTGTGCGAAGTGAGACTGTTTCCAAAATGTTTGACGGTATCTGCCACACAGCCAGACTCCAGAAGAGGTGGCTGCTGTCATCATGAGGAGTGAATAAATGACCAGAGTGCTCAGGCTGCCCGGTTTATAAGGCAATAGCACTCAGGGCATTTGTGGTAGCCACATTTACCCAGGACCCTGTTGGCTGCTGCTGTCCCTCCACCCTGCCCCCAAATCCCCTTCCAGGTAGAGTATATCACTCTTAGTCTCAGCCACGGTGAAGTTTGCCCTCAGGTTTGAGTGTTCCCCCATTGGCCCCTCCTGCCCTGTCCCGATTGGCCTGAGTCCGCCTAGTACCTGCACCACCTCGGGCCTCACGTTGAAGGTGTATAGCCAGTCACTGAAGCGCGGGTAGCTGTTGAGCTCGGCCGTCCTGTCGCTGGGAGCCACGCTCAGCTTGCACTGCCTCTGCTTACAGATGTACCGCACCAGCTTTGCCTGTGGGAAGTCCAGGAAAGAAAAGGCCACATTTACTGGTGGCTCAAGCATGTGGTAGCCCTGAGTGCACCCCAGAGGGGCTCACATAGACACAAGTGGTGTGCTGAGGACAGGAGCCTGCAGGGTCCCCCTTGCTGCCATTTGGCGGGGGTGGGGGGCAGCACATATAAGGAGAGGGAGGAGCTAAGAGAGGGTCCTGGAGAGCAGGAAAGCGGTCTAGAAGCTACCCCGCCAGTCCCTTCTGCACCCATGGCAGGCAGGAGTTGATAATTCATAACGAGAAGGACTTAGGGGCTCGGGGGCTCAGCAGGCTGGGCAACCTCCCAGCCTAGAATCAGATGGCCTGGCTAGGGACCCAGGGCCTCAGGTACCACCCTTGCTCTGTGGCCTTGGACAAGTTACTTAACCCCACCCCCAGGCAAACCTCAGTTTCCTCCTCCACAAAATGGGGATAATAACGGAAACTTCCTAACAGAGGTTAGGAAGAAACGAGCACTCAGTTCATCCCCAGCACACAGTAAGCACCCAACACGATGGCCATGATTGCTGAGCTCTTGGCTCAGGTCCCAGGCAGGTTTTCAGGGATGCACACCCTGGGATGCAGGCAAATTCCAGGGGTGTGTGTCCCCAAAGCATTCAGAAGACTCACAATAAGAAATCTGAATGAGGACAGCCCGACCTAGGGCAAACTCTGACAAGCCCTAGGCTTCTACCAGGACTGAGGCACTTGTGGGTGGGGTGAGACTGGTTAAAAAGAAGGAGATGGCTTCAACCAGAGGCTGCCAAGCACACTGTAACAGATGCTGTGCCTCGCCACCCAAAGGGCCGCCTGGCTTGGCTAAGATGGAGGGACCCAGTAACCGTGAGAGCTTCTGAGATGATAATGAGACTCTAGTGGCCCTCCCACTGGTGACATACAGCATCCCCAGAAAGTAAGTACTACCTAAAAGTCTAGGAACTGCCACTTGGGAGGATTCTTGTTAACACAGCCACATACTAAAAAATTAGTAAGAATAGTAAATAATTTTAAATTTCAAATGTCTGGAAAGTTTCCCAATTTCCAATTAGGACCATCATTTTAGGGTCTTTCCTCCCCTCTTGGGGAGTCTCAAAGAACAGTGATTTTAAATTAATGAAATAAAACATTTATGATTACAGAGGAAATCAGATATATATACACACATATATATGCGTATATATATATATATACTTAAAATATATGTATCAATATATATGTATATTTTTAAATACACATATATTTTTTAAACTCAGGGCCTCACACTTGCTAGGCAGGTGCTCTACCACTTGAGCCACTCCACCAGTCCTGGTCCCCTCAACAATCTAACAAACCCCTACTTATCCCACTCAGGGTCACTGGCCCTCTCGTGAGGCACCAAAATACAAATCCTGCTTGCTACATCAGACCGCCAGGAGGGTCAGCAGCAAATGGAGACCATTGCTAGAGAGGAGACACTGCGTCAGAATCAAAACAATTCTTCTCAGTTGCACAGTTTTGACGCTGGGTGAAAGTGCCAGCCCATAGGCAAACCCAGGGCATTCCAGCACACGTGCCTGCCTCTATGGTACGCAGGGCAGACAGCACTAATCACATGCTCTCCTGAGGCTCACAATTCCCTGTGGCCACACGAGAAGTTTATTTGCTGTTCCATTAGGAAACCTAAGCCCCTGGACACATCTTCAGGGCATGAAACTCACAAATGCAATGACACAAACACCACTTTTCTATATCCCTCCCAGCGTGACCACTGGTAAATTCTAAAATCAGACCCTGTTCTCCTTCCCCAGGTTCACGTCCTTTCCAGCCTCCCTCACAGCCCCTTGGAGCACACTCACCTACAAGCTAGTCCTCAAATACTTGTCTAGTTTCCCACCCCTTGGCCTCAGCTCAGACCAGCCTTTCCCGTGGCCAAGTCAGGAGCACACGTCCCTCTTGTGATGGAGCCACAGTGGGCCTCACGGTCAAGCTAACAGCTTCTGAGCAGTCTCCTCCAGTGGACCTGAGCTTCCTGGGATGGAACAGAATACACACTTCTGAGATGACCACATCCAAGTTCAAATCTGTTACTGGCTATGCAACCTCAAGGAAGGTAATTTATTTTTGAGTTTCAGCTCACTCATCTGCAAAACAGGAATGACCAGCTCATACTGAACTATAGCATGGAAATCCCCGAATGACAAGATGGGTTCCCTGCCCCACATCAGAGCAGGAACTGAGTTCACTTCACTCATTTCTGTCCCCACAGGCCTGTTGTCACACCTGCATGTGACACGTGCTCACCAATGGAGGAAGGAAACACACAGGCTTTGTTCCCGTGTTTCCCAGCCACTCCTTCCCTCCATCCCAGTGGCTCCCAAACCACAGCGTCAGAGGGCTGAGCAAACTCAAAACCACATGAACCTAAGAGGGTGGCATTAGCATCACCAGACCTCCAGAGTGATTCAAAACATATCTGTGCTGCATAAGACTTTGGCCATAGCTAGCCAGCCTGGCCTGGGCCTGAGCTACCATGTGAGCCTCGCCAGTTCAGCCTCTCCACCCCACCTGGTCCTTTTCATCTTCAAGATACCAGGCAGGCTTTTCCCAGGGATCCCTCAGCCTAGGTTCAGCTTAGACACCCTTCCTCCAGAACCTCCCAGAGCCCTTAAGACACTTGCCCAGATGGATCACAGTTCTAATTTGTCATGTGTCTGCTTCTTTCTTTAGGATATAGACTCCGGGAGGCCAGAGACCTGGTCTGCGTTCCTGGTCACTGCAAGATCTCCAGGAGCCAGTGTCATGCCTGGCACACCATTTGAGGTTTAAAAACCTTTGTTGACTGGATGGACAAATGAACACACAAGACATTTTGAGCTCAGCTGGGCACACAGAAACATTCCAGTTGCCAAAGTGATGAGTCCAGAGTCCAAGCATCCCAAAAATTGGAGCAAGTTCTCCAGAAAAGGGGTAGAAGGTATCATTATCGTCGTCATTATTGGTTTTGATGGCCCTGGGAAATCAAAATCAAATGCCTCATGTATGTGACACTCCACCACTGGGCTACATAGCCTATGTTTTCTAAAAAGCTGTTAGAGGTCTCTGCTAAGGCATCCAAAGCAGGCCCAAGGGCAGGACTGCACAGAACTCAAAATGACTCCTTACTGCATCCAGGTAACAACTCATACCCCAGCCAGTGGGGCCCATGCTGAAGAACAGGGAGGACCTCAGCTCATGGCTCTGGAGTCCCGGAGCTGCTCTCTCCTGCAGAGCTCGCCTCACACAGAGGATAGCAGTGCCTGATGTGCAGCGGTTCCCATCACTGAGAAATGGAGCCATTCTCACTTTTCGGAAAGTTGTGGCAATCACAGAAGCACCAAAGAGCCACTTTCCCAGACAAACCACAGCAAGTCCTGCCAGCCAGCCTGGGGACCTGCCAGGGGACCTTTCATTGGCCGTATCATTTTCTCTTTACCACAAAAACCACAGACCATAAACTTTCCGAAAAAGAAAAGCACCTGAGGTTCCAGCAATGGAACCAGCAGCTGAAAGGGCATCATTAGGGCTCTGGCCTCAGAGAGAGGCTGGGCGGGAACCGAGATCTCCCCAGCCAATATACTTTTCCCTTCAGGAGCAAGTACCCTGTCACTGCACTGACACACGGCCCAGTTTCCAGAGAGAACAGAAGAGTTCCAAGTCAGCCCACATACAGTCGGTGGGTGCTGCCAGATACGCAGTACACAGCAGGCACTCACTAAGTGTCCTGGGCTGAAAGACCTAGGTGCTAGTCCCAGCTCTGACATTAAAAATTAAGGATCTTGGTGAAATCCGCCTTCACTAGGCTTTGGCCTCACCATCTTGAAAGACAGGGTCATTTCACAGTTTGGGACCAAGTGAGCTGCTGCATACAAAAGTGCTTGGAGCCAGCAAGAAAAATGCAGAGCCCACAACATTACTGCTGGTTACCCCAGTCATACCAAGGCCCCATAGCAACAAGAGGGAGATCTCTGGCTCTCGGGCCCTCTACCACCACACTGCCCTGGTGGGTGAACATAGTAAGGGATATCAAGTGTCAACCTCACTTTCATTTTAGTTTTTTGAGACAGGGTCTCAACTATGTAGCCCAGGCTGGCCTCATTCCTCCTGCCTCAGCCTCCTGAGCACTGGGATTACACCAGAGCTGGCCTCAGTTTCTCCATATAAAAATAGGGTTGATCTACATGAAAGACTGCTGTGAAAGAAAATATAGATGAAAATGTTCAGCAAAATGCCTGGATCCAGGGAAATGCTTGCTCAGTGGTGACTGTGGTGGGTGGTGTCCTTCTCAATATATCTTCAGGTCCTGTTTTATTACCTTCTGGGCAGGAGGGGCTAGGTGGATGAGATGGGGCTAAATACAACTCTGAAATCTAGTGTTGGCCTTTGGGCTGGAATTTACAGGTCTGGTACATTTATTCTTAAAGCAGAAGGGTCTTGACCCAGCTGACCAGTTCACCCAGCTGACTTGAGGGAACCTGATCCCCTCCTCTCTTTGGGGCTCTCACCTCTGCTCTCAGCACAGACAGCATGACCAGAATAGAGTGGCATGGACTATGGGAATGCAGCTTGCTCAGAAAAGCAGTTGCACCCTTACTCAGCATCCTGATCAACCTCAGAGGTCACCTGCCACCCCAGCTGCTCCAGGCATAACCTGGACACAAGCCTCCCAAACAGAAGCCATCAGGAGCATCACTTCAGTGACAGCGAGGCTTATGATGCCTCCCTGAGGAGCACAGACGGGCCTGGCAGAACAGATACTGTGCAGAGCAGACACTGAACCACTCACCACCAAGAGATGGAAACTTCCACAGGGAGCCCTAGAAACATGGAGGCCCTGAACTCTTCTCAGGTATATGGACTGCAGCCTCTCCTGAGAGAAGTTCTCACCTTGTCACTGGCAGTGGATCCTGGGGCTATAGAACCATGCTTCCCTTGGAAGCTACCACAATGGAACTGGAGCAGTGAC